GGTGACTAACGCTGACCTCATCAACAGCCTGGGCGCTGTTGCCAAATCTGGCACCAAAGCCCTCCTGGGAGCCCTGCAGGTGGGTGGCCTTTGGCTACGTGGATCCCTTAGGGCCCAGGCCACAGGCTTTCACTGGGGTGTAACCACAGCCCTACTGCCTTTTGTGCTGTGGGTGCTGTTGGTCTACCTGAGTGCTTCCCAGGCTTGCCAGCAGCAGGGAGGAGCTGAGGGCAGGGCTGGCTGCCTCTTGGCACTTGCCTCTTTTTGTCTGCAGGCTGACCCAGTTCTTTGCTGCTGGTGAGGAACAGTGGCAGATGTCTCCTGTCTCTTCACTAGCCAGTCGGTCTTGCTCTGATTGCACGGGCTGGTGCAGACATCTCCACGACTGGGCAGTTTGGTGTGGGTTTCTACTCTGCCTATCTAGTGGCTGAGAAGGTTGTTGTCATTATGAAACACAATGATGATGAGCAGTCTGCTTGGGAATCATCAGCTGGAGGCTCCTTCACTGTCCCAATTGACCGTGGTACGTGTTGTACAAAACACCTAAGCGTATTTCTCTGCTTTTCCTGTTGCTTCCTAGAGCTGTGCTGTGTTGTCAGTCATGCTTGCTGATGTTGGGTACTAAGTAGTGTTTGGGCTCGAGGAGTTGGCCCTGCTTGCCCTGTGCCCTGAGCACTAATGTTTTTCTCCCCACACTGTAGGTGAGCCCATTGGACGGGGCACCAAAGTGATCCTGTATTTGAAGGAGGATCAGACAGAGTACTTGGAGGAGTGATGTGTCAAAGAGGTGGTGAAGAAGCATTCCCAGTTCATTGGCTACCCCATCACACTCTATGTATGTGAGGAAAGGATTGCAGGGACCTGCTTGAAAGCTGGAGACGGGTGGGTGGTGTTGCAAGCAGGTACCTCCTGGCTGCTGGGCAATGAGTAATGGTGCTTCCAGCTTCTGTTGACCAGAGGTGATTTGAGGGGCTCATTGGAGGTGAAGGTGGTGGCCATCCAGGCACACTTTTGGTCTTTCATCTATGCAGCTGGACATAATCTAAACCAGCCATGGAGGGAGGAGAGTTTTCTGCTCCTTGTCTGCCTCATCTCAGGTGCAGATTTTGGTTGAATGAGCTTTGGAGGGACTCTGAGGGTTGGCTTCAGGAGAAGACCTGGTTCCAGATGTTGCATTTGTAGAGCCTTGGAGGACACCCATTTCTCTCATCTGGAGCAAAAGGAATCTTGGTAACAGCTGCCTGGGGCTAAACCTGACTCTTGCCTATCACTTTATTCACAGCTGGAGAAGGAGTGTGAGAAAGAGATCAGTGATGATGAGGCAGAGGAGGAGAAGGGTGAGAAGGAAGAGGAAGAGTCAGGATCCAAAGAGGAGGAGAAACCAAAAATTGAAGATGTGGGCTCTGATGAGGAAGAGGAGGAAGCAGACAAAAGCAAGAAGAAAAACACCAAGAAAATCAAGGAGAATATATTGACGAGGAGGAGCTGAACAAGACCAAGCCTATTTGGACCCGCAACACTGATGACATCACCCAGCAGGAGTATGGAGAGTTCTACAAAAGCCTCACCAACGACTGGGAGGACCACCTGGCTGCCAAGGTAGGTGCTGTGCCACCCTGGCTTTCAGGGAGAGACAGAAGGGCCCTTTCCAGCCCATACCCAGAGCCACCAGATGGTTGTGCCTCAGTGGGACTGAGGGTTCCCATGCTACATGGTGGTGCCACAGCCTGTACTGCAACTTCCATGCAGGTGGAGTGGTTGGCAGCATCAGCCTAGAAGCAGGACAGAAAGGTGTTGGGTCTCAGAAGCATGACTTCTCCATCCAGGCCTGTTGGATGCCAGAGAGCCTGGGTACGTAGGGGGCAGTGGGGATGAGGAATGAGCAGTGCAGGCAGCTTGGATGCTACAGATGCTGCTGTGCTCCCTGCCAGCCCAGTGCTGAGGAATGGCAGTTCAGCCTGCCCATGGTGGGTCCTGGGGGTGGGGGTAGAAGGAAAGCACTCTGGCAGCTGTTTTTCCTCCTTTCTCTGCAGCACTTTTCTGTGGAAGGGCAGCTGGAGTTCAGGGCCTTGCTCTTCATCCCATGCCGTGCCCCTTTCAACCTCTTTGAGAACAAGAAGAAGAACATTAAGCTGTATGTGAGGTGTGTCTTCATCATGGACAGCTGTGACGAGCTCATCCCTGAGTACCTAAGTAAGAGCCCCTCAGCGTTCCAGTGCGGAGCTGAGACCCCACACTGCCTGTGGTTCTGCTCCCAGTACAAAGCTGCTGGCTGAGGCACAACCTGGTGTGGGCATGCAGCAGTCAGTGGTGTAGCACTTCTCCTGTGATGAAGCTCAGAGCTCCTAATTTGAGTACTGTTTTCATTTTCCCTACTCAGACTTCATCCGGGGTGTTGTGGACTCAGAGAACCTACCTCTGAACATCTCTCGTGAGATGCTCCAGCAAAGCGTGATCCGTAAAAACATTGTGAAGAAATGCTTGGAGTTCTTCTCCGAGCTGGCAGAGGACAAAGAGAACTACAAGAAATTTTATGAGGTCTTTTCCAAGAATCTGAGGGTGAGCTAGGCACCCTGCACCAGGAGGAGGGAGGGGCCCCTGACCTATCAGCCAGAGGAGCAGGCTTGTCCCTGTGCCATGTCATCTCTTTGTGGGTGTCAGGGTAGAGGGGGTCTTGCAAGTGCCCAGAGAGCCTTTGTGGGCAGCTGGTCCCTCTGGTTGGCCTAGGCCAGAAATGGTTAGAAGGTGGGCAGAGATGGCTATGACTCTGTAGTGGCCAGGTCTGTGCAGGTCCCATCCTGGAGGCTTCACAAATCTCTTCTGCCCCCAGCTGGGCATTCATGAGGACTCGACCAACCGAAAGCGCCTTTCGTAGCTGCTGCATTACCAAATGTCCCAGTCAGGGCATGAGGTGACTTCACTTTCAGAGTATGTGTCCCGTATGAAGGAGACCCAGAAGAGCATCTACTACATCACAGGTGAGCCAGATCTCTTCTGTGCCCTGCTGAGGTGGAATTTTATGGTAGGAGTTCCAAACGCCTTGGTGCTATTTGTCCTGCTGTACCCAGCTCTTGAGTCTTGGTGACGTCTCGTTTTTACCACCCACAACCACAGGGGAGAGTAAGGAGCAGGTTGCCAACTCAGTCTTTGTGGAGCGTGTGGAAGCGTGGCTTTGAGGTGGTGTACATGACAGCCCATTGATGAGTACTGTGTGCAGCAGCTCAAGGAGTTTGATGGGAAGACCCTGGTATCAGTCACTAAGGAGGGACTGGAGCTGCCTGAGCATGAGGAGGAGAAAAAGATGATGGAAGAGAGCAAGGCCAAGTTCAAGACCCTCTGCAAACTCATGAAGGAGATCCTGGACAAGAAAGTGGAGAAGGTGAGATGGGCAGGGAGCTTAGTCCTAGGCTGGAGGGAGGAGGGCTGGGCCATCCATGATGCAGGCAAGTGCCTTAGCTCAATGCATGCCTCTCATCTCCTGCAGAGGAGCCGCTAAGGAGACTGGAGGTCCCAACATGCACTGCACCATCTTGCTCCAAGAAGCCAGGCTGCAGGTGAGGGGTACTGACCCAAATACGTGCATTGATGGGGGCAGGTGAGTGTGGGAAATGTGCAGTGGGTGCTGAGGTGCTGGCTGAGCTGTCCAAACTAGTGTATGCAGCAGTCCCGGAGCTGCCTGGAGGATCTCTGCTTCCTTTGGGTTGTCTCTGTGTCAGAGACCTGGGGTATCATGTGTGTTGTGGTTGGACTGAGTCGAGGGTGTATGAGGACCTTGCTCAGCTAACCCTGGGTTCCACTGGCAGGTGACTATCTCAAACCCGTTGGTCTCAACTCCCTGCTGCATCATCACCAGCACCTATGGTTGGACGGCCAACATGGAGCGCATCATGAAGGCTCAGGCGCTGCGGGACAACTCTACCTTGGGCTATATGATGGCCAAGAAGCACCTGGAGATCAACCCTGACCACCCAATTGTGGAAACCCTCCGCCAGAAGGCTGGTGCTGACAAGAATAACAAAGCTGTCAAAGATCTGGTGGTGCTACTCTTCGAGACTGCTCTGCTGTCCTCTGGTTTCTCCCTGGAAGATCCCCAGACCCACTCCAACCGCATCTACAGGATGATCAAACTGGGGCTTGGTAGGTGCCCATGCAGCATCTCAGGCCTGGAGCAGGTCCTGAAAGCAGGTTAGCTGGTCAGGCTAGTGTGAAACTGTCCTAGGGCAGGGGAGACACATGAGGGAGTCCTGCTGGTGTGATGTGCAGAGCTGGATGTGTACATGATGTTGCTAGGGGCACGTGGAAACTAGGGCCAGGGTACTTCAGGAGGGCTGTCTTGTCCTGGACAAGGCCAGGAGTCACCACCAGGCTGCTTAGATGACAGGCCTGAGGCTTTTTATTTCTTCAAAGTGAATGTCAAAAGTCTATCGTGGGAGATGTGACCCATTGGGTGAAACAGCTTGTTCTTGCACTCAATTTTTTTCTCTGAATTGGCTATGAAGCTAAATGTAAATCAGGAGGTGCTGTGGCTTGGCATAACTAGTGGATGCCAAAAGCCCTGTCCCTGTGGGCAGGAGCCAGTCTGTGCTATGGGAGAGGCTGTACCCCTGGGATCAGGTGTCATGGAGGCTTCATCTCTTCCTTTCCTCTCCTTCCCTAAGCATTGATGAAGATGAGGTGACTGCAGAGGAGCCCAGTGCAGCTGTGCCTGATGAAATCCCCACTCTGGAGGAAGAGGAAGATGCATCTCACATGGAAGAGGTAGACTAAAGTATGCAGAAGCCTCTTCCCTACCAGGCCTCTGCCCCATATCTTGTCTGCTTAGGAGTGGGTCTGCTCCCACCAGCTGCTACTGATTCCTTGGTGGTGTCTTTTTTTATTTTTGTTTGTTTGGGGTTGTTTTTGGCAGGGTGCAGGAGGGCATGATTCCCAGGTTGTCAGTAGTTAGTGATTCAGGCAGCCCTGAGGCTGTTCTGTCTTTCTGCTTGTGTAGGAACAGCTGATGGGGAGTGGAGGTGAGGGGGAGTCATCAGGCTTCCCCTCTTTCCCCCACCATGGGGTCTCCCATGTTCCCAGTAGGCATCAAACACTGCCCTTGTTCCACTGGGGTGGGAGAGCCCTTCCTCTGAGCTGCTGCTTCCCTGAAACCCCCAGGGTAGGATATTGTATTTCAGTTGGCTTGGTTATTTTAGTTTGATTATTCTTCTGTTGTTTTGTTCTACTGGAATTAAAGTATCCAAGATTGTGGTTTACGTGGAGAAGTCCCTTGTGTTTCATGCCTGTGATAAGGAGGAAGGGGTCTCAGCCTGTACCTGGGGGTATCGGGCTGCTGGTGTCTCCCCTGCCCTGGCTGGTTTGCAGAGCTTCAGCCTTTAGCTGATCCCTACCCCTTCCCTGCCCAGCCACTGTGAAGTGTGTTGGAGAAACAGATGCCCTGCTGTGCAGGTGGGGTGATCTCCAGCTGCCCAGGCAGCTCTTGACCAAGAGTGCTGCATGCCTTGCAGCCTGGGGACAGACCTTTTCCCTCGGCAGTGTCAGCTGGGCAAGCTGTACCAGGACCTGAGCCTGCACTGCTGCTGGTTGCTCTGATCCCAGGGTCCTAGGACTGGGAGCTGTGAGAGGAGCCATCAGCCTGTTCCCTCGCAGTGCAGGGCAGGGGGTGGAATGACAGCTTCAGACTGTAGTCCAGCTGCCTCTCTTTGGCCAAACTGCTCTTTGTGCTCTAGACTCCACCTTTCCTCCTATCTCCAGCTGGTCCTTTCTGGGCTTCTGAAGTCCTGGGGGTTTGGCAGTATCTGACTATCCCCCTGGCTTTTGCCTCTGTTTGGGATGATGGAGAAGCCTGGGACATCACCTCTGATTAATCTGCCCCTTGCACCCAGCTCACACCCCATGAGTTCATCACCCTTGGGCACAGTAGCCCCTGGGTTTTGGCAGGGGAAAGTGACACCAACACCACATTGTCTTGCTGGCTGCTTGTCAACAACCACAGGCACATAATGGAGTGGGCTTTAGCCAGCACCCATCTTCAACAGGGGGGGAGGAGGAGGAGGCTGCTGGAGTCCCTGCTGCACACTGGGCACTGTGCTGCAATGTGGCTGCTGTTTGGGTGCAGGCTGCTAGGGCAGTGCTAGAGCTGAGTCAGAAAATGCCTTTGGGATGGTTTTCTTTCCCTTGGACAAGAGAAAAACGTTTAAAATTAAAATTTCTCTCTGATTAGAAAGGTTGTTCCAAATAATGAATCAGTAAAGTCAGTATTTTAAACTTGGAATGTTTTGTTGGTAGATTTGGGGTTTTTTCACTTTTTTTTTTTCTTTAAATCTACATTTATAATGAGAAAAGGCACCCTGTTCCCAACCTGGCAGACAACCCATTCTCTTGACCAACATGAAAAAATACCCATTTTCACTGTGCCAACAAATGGTGGGGGCAGACACTGAGGGAATTTGCAGGGGCAGGATGAAGGGCTGTGAGGCCTCACAGGCATTTCTGGGAGCTCAGAGCTAGGAAAGGAACACAGGTAAAGCTGTTGGAGACCAAATGCTCTGAAGCCTGGGCTGTGCTCAGCACAAGCTCAGTCACCCCAGCTGGCTCAGCTAACTCAGCACTGTGATAAGCAGCTCCTGTCCCTAGTCTCCTGTTTCTCCTGTAGCCCTCACCCAAGTCTCCCTTGCCTCTAGTTCATTGAGGCCAAGGTCCTTTCTTCGACCCCAGACCTCACCATGACTAGACTGTACTGGCTACAGACAAGGTTTTTTACCAGGCCTTCCATAAGTACTGCTTGGATGGACCACCTGCCCCTCAAGCCTCCCTGGCTCTGCTGTGGGGCCTGTGGAGCTGCTGTTGATACAGGTGCACCCGATAAAGGGTCCTCCTCCAGAGCCTTCTTACAGTGCTGGTGGAGCTCAGCCAGCCTCTGCACCATCTCTGGCCACACTGCCCAAGCTGCACCAAGCAGGGAACCCAGAACCCAAAGCAGAATCAGGCTTAACAGCTCCTCCACCTGTCCACCAGTGTAAGCAGCAGCCCAGGTGCTCCCCAGTCATGTGTGCTTGGATCTCTTGTCAGGTCTTGCCGCCTTGGGTCTAACCTTGTCTCATACTTGCCTGGGCAAAGGCAGAAGCACCGGTGTTTGGAAAGGAACAACAGCTTTGCTGTCCCAGAGAGACCAGGGGTGCAGGAAGGGTTGGGAAGTCTCTCCCTTCCTTTCAAGCTACATGGAAAAAAAAATAAATATTAAAACTATTTAGCCCCAGGATGTCATATGCAGCATATTTTTAATTTAATAAAATAAAAAGAGGAAAAAAAATGCCTTTCAAAAGTACCAAAACCTGCTGGCTTGTCAGTCAGGTTGTGTTGAGGAAAAAAGGGTTAACCAGTAAATCCCAGGCTTCTGGGGAAGAGCAGCTTCTGGTGCTCTGTTCCCTGCTGCCTGGGAGCAGATGCCCACTCACCCACCTGTGGAGCAGAAAAAAGGCACCACAAGTGGGCTCTGTCCCACCTTGCAGCCCTCCAGGCACAGCAGGGCTCTGGCCAGACCCCAGGAAAGCTGGGGCTTGATGCTTCCAGTTGGCAGGAAGAAGAGGGTCTATTTGTGCTTCTCTGAAGGGCAAATAGAGCCCAGAAACCGTGGGACACTGAGGCAACCCAAGGCAATCCTGGGGCTTCTGGGCAGCGCAGCCTTTGGCCTGTCACAGCAGCAGATGTAACCAAAAAGCAACCTAGAACTCTGCAAGCCCTGGGACCCGTACCAGCCAGCCTCAGTCTCTGCATCAAAATCAGTCTGGGCCCAGGGGAGTGAAGAAAAGTGTCTTGGAGCAGGGGAGAGGAATAGATAAAACCAAACTGGTACGTGCTGGCTTTCACTGCAGAACAGATCCCAGGCCTGGGGTAGGACAGGCTGGGAGTCCTTCCCTTTAATGTGCCTGTTGTCCTACCTGAAGCACTTCTTGGCTCACCTTTGGGCTTGCCTCACATGGAAATGCTTCAAAAAAGAAATTCAGTGTTTTGCTTGCCCTTTCGTCGTGCTGAGCTCTGTAGTAGTAACAGCTATGTAGTAGTAACAGAAATGGAGGAGCATTACCTGGAGGCAAGACAGTGCCAAGGAAAAGAGCTCCCTTGTTCATCAGTGACTTTGGAGAGAAGCCACAAGATGAAGGTGGGGCAGGAGTACCAGCAGCCCCCCCACTGGTATTCCCCCAGGATGTGAGCCCCCCTCTGCCAGGCCTGTGCCTTAGCTGGAAGTCTTTGACCTATTAAGGCAAATGGAAAGGTTTGGAGCTGTGGCAACCCAGAGCATTCCCTGGGCTTGATCCAGCCCCTTTCCCAGGAAAAGCACGTGGAAAAGAGAGTCACTGGCCCAGCCTATTCATACCCCACCCTGCTCCTCGGCGGGTTTTGAGAAATTAAGCAAGTACCCCCAAGTGGAGGCAGGACAGCAGGCATGGCTTAAAATGGCATGGCCCCGACTCCTTAGACCTTTTGTACAGGGGTCTCGCCTGGCGGGAGCTTCTTACTGCGCTTCTTCATGCGGCTGCGGGCGTAGACGCGGAGGAAGAGGGCCATGAAGACAACCCCTACACCCAGCCCGCCCACGACAGTGACAGTGTGCCCGTAGATGAGGCAGGAGAGGAGAATGGCAAAGGCCTGGCGCAGTGTCATGATGATGGTGAAGACAGCTGCCCCAAACTGGTTGATGGTGTAGAAGATGAAGAGCTGGCCGAAGGCGGAGCACACGGAGAGCAGCACGGCGTGGGCTGTGAACTCCGAGTGGCGGGCCATGAAGTGTAAGGACTCCAGCAAGGCCCCCTGCTCCAGGAGCGAGCCCACCGTGAAAAGGCAGGAGAAGACATTGACACCAAACATCATCTGCACGGGAGACATCTTGTAGGTGAAGAGGGCGTCCTGCCAGTTAGAGGTGAAACTGTCGAAGATTATGTAGCCAGCCAGGAGGACCACGCCTGAGAAAGTGGTGACGGTGGACATGTGCCTGTTTGGAGCACTGGAGAGGAGGAACATGCTGACCCCCACAGAAATGAGGGCAGCAGTCAGGTACTCCCAGTACTCGTAACTCTTGCGTGACACCAGTTTGCCCATCATCATCACTGGGATCACTTTGGAGGCCTTGGCCAGCACCTGGGTGGGGAAGCTGATGTATTTGAGTGCCTCATACTGGCACCAGCTGCTGAGGATGTTGGAGAGTGAGGCAAAGGAGTACTTGTACATAGGAGCCCCATGGCGCGGCTGCTTGGTCAGGGCGCAGTACAGACCAGCCACCGTGAAGGCCAGGATGCGGTTCATGAACACTAGGAACTGGGAGTCCTTGAACTTCTCACCAGGGTCTGTTTCAGTAGCACCGTATGTTCTTGTCATTACACGCTCCTGGAGGACGCCCCATGTGAGGTAGGAGACCTGTGAAGCAAGAGGAGCACAGGGAGAATGACAACCTGCAACAGCATCCACAGGAAGAACAGACCCCAAAGGAGATCCCTGCTTGCCCCAGGGTTGCCTCACCCCCTGCACTGCGATGCTGCCCTGACACACGGGGAGACGAGGCCACCCCCGCCCCACCCATCTGTGGGAACTCACTGTCCCGTGTGGTTACAACCAGGAACATCCCATCGCAAACAAACCCTGCTCAGTTTACAGCCTATTCAAGCAGAGAGAGAAGCCAGCAAAGCAAACACCCTGGAGTACAGTGAGCAGTTGTGTTGTAAGCTGCACCAGACAGACGGGATCAGGGAACGTTACCGATGCACAGCGGCAGTTTT